TGGATTTGGAGGAAAGCACATTGAAATTCAAAAGGGGTTTCGTTGTCAGAAGGGGAATGATTTTTCTTTTGGGGAAAACAATTCGTACAATCGGGAAACGTTTTTATTTTTTTCTAAAATACGGTAGGATCAATTCTAGATTCTTGCTATTTCCTTTTTCCTTTATTTTTTTCCATCCAGCTATGTGTTCCTTGTGATTGTATTCCTTAGCATCTTAGATGAAGTTCAAAAAATCATCTTACTTAAGGGAATATATTAGTGTCTTAAATTATAAATATAAACATTCCCAGAAAACCATACTTGAGGATTCATACAATATTTTTAAATTGCTGTGGTACTCTGTAGAACAGTCCATAGGATTCTTTCAGTCTCAAAATGTTTGAAGTTAAACGAGACCAGTGTGTTCTAGATGTAGTTGAAGTTCAAATTTGTACTACATAAAGTTTGTTTGTTTGTTTGAAGTTAAGCACAAAGCTACACAGCTATACTCTGCCCATCACGGGTATCGTAACCAGTGGTCTAGCCGCAGACATACATACCGCTGTGCCACTGGGAGACACTACATAAAGTAGAAGTAATATGATTTAAGAGGTATCCATTCGTACTTCACTTCCTGGTTAAACCAGTGAACTAGAAGATTCATCAGACAGTTACAAAGTTACGAAACAACATTCATCATATCCACTGATCTTCAATAATAGACATTTTGATCGTTTCGGAAGATCTAAGAAATACTGTTCTATCTAAGCTCGAATTATGGAAAAATTATACAAAAACTAAGTATTTTAGTTCTCTGTACTGAAACATTCTCTATTACTATTCATAAACAAAATTTATATCCAGAGGAAAAAAAAACGACAAAACTCTAACAATTTCAACATGTCTCTAGGGAAAAAACGACAAAACTCTAGCAGTTTCAACACGTCTCTAGGAAAAACAAACGACAAAACTCTAGCAGTTTCAACATGTCTCTAGGAAAAAAACGACAAAACTCTAACAGTTTCAACATGTCTCTAGGAAAAAAAACGACAAAACTCTAGCAGTTTCAGCATGTCTCTAGGGAAAAGAAAACGACAAAACTCTAGCAGTTTCAACATGTCTCTAGGGAAAAAAACGACAAAACTCTAACAGTTTCAACACGTCTTTAGGGAAAAAACGACAAAACTCTAACAGTTTCAACATGTCTATAGGAAAAGAACGACAAAACTCTAACAGTTTCAACATGTCTCTAGGGAAAAAACGACAAAACTCTAACAGTTTCAACGTGTCTCTAGGAAAAAAACGACAAAACTCTAGCAGTTTCATGTCTCTAGGAAAAAAAAACGACAAAACTCTAACAGTTTCAACATGTCTCTATCAGTGGCAAAGGTGGTGTGTAAAATTCTGTTCACCTGTCGATTTGTTTGTTTGTTGTAAAGCACAAACTTACACAATGGGTTATCTGTGCTTTGCTCATCGCGGGTATCGAAACCCGATTTTGAGCATTATAAGCTCAGAGATGTAACGATGAGCTACCGAGGGGCTTCACCTGTCGAAAGAACAATGGTTTTATTGTTTTTAACGTGAATTACTAACATTTTTATCATATATATTTCTTAACCAGCAAGTGGCTCATTGGTGAGCTTGATCGAGGATTTATAACACTAAAAATTTGGGGCTCTTTCTCTGTGGTGAACATAAGATAGATAACACAATGTGTAGGTTTATGCTTATAATCAAATCGAAATGTTTCTTACTTATCATGTTTAATATTGTAAATGATTTTGATGAAATCTTGAAAAGATGCACTTAGCGAGCCGGAAGTGCCCTCGTCGTCAAGCAGGACGTTAGCAGGCTGCTTATCAAAATGAACTTCAAGAGTGTTTTTCAGTTGTAATATTTTCCTATGTAATTATTGTGTTATATCTTACGCATAACTGAGTAGCGTGGTGTTTCATACTTTTAACATTTGATAGCTATGTTTTGCCATTATTTTAAAATGTAAACCGGGTTGTTGAGGCCTGATTCGTAAATCAAAGAAATATTCTTGTTTGACATTATATACGTGCTCCAAACTATTATTTTACCAAGTATGTAAAGTATGAACACTTGCCAATCTATCACGTCATGGAAAACATTTCTCTCGTGAAGTCATGGAGGTTCGGAATGTTTTATTCATGAACACGCGTTGCCGATCTATTTAAATATTGTTTGAGAAAAAAAAAGAGAGAAAAAAAAAGGGCTAAAGGCATTGAGCTTAAGAGTTTTTTTTTTTTACACTTTGGAGGCCGACGTAGAAGATACGTATTGTCTTATTTAATGTAAATAATTACAAAATGGCAAAAGTGTATAACTATCTCCTTCAATTAGGAAACAAATGTAACATTTTCTTTATCAACTGAAAACTAAAAACTAAATACTAGTAGAGAATCACAAAACATTTGCGGTTAAACTAGTATCTTTGTTGCAACAGTACTTCTTTAAATACAGGATTTCTAGAATAATACAAAAGAATTCTAATCCCAGACACCGAAGTCTTTAATTCCACATGTCTTAGGCTTAACATTAGTTAAGCTTTTATCAAGCACAGGCTTATACACGATAAAGAGATAAATTAACACTGTAATTTGAATACGTTTTTTGCATTAGTTTAGTTAAGGCTAAATTTTACTGTACTTAATATTATCAATAAATAAATTTATAATGTTATTCTACGACCTAACGCTAGACCTTTTTAAAAATATTGATACGTTTTTAATATGTTGTTGTACAACATGTCTACTAAAGTATGTTTTTATATCGCGCATTTTCAGAACAGACAAAAACGGAGTTTTATTAATTTTTTTTTCTTTCTGGAAAGATATAAATTCAACTAATTAAAAGTGTAGCTGACAAAACTAAAAATTTGGAGTCACAATTTAATGACTTTACCTCCATCTTCAAAAAAGAAATTTAATTTTAAACGGCTGAGTGAAATATCCACTAAAATATTAGCATGGAATGTGATGGTATATTGTACTTGCGTGGAGTCCTATAGAAACATTCACAAGCCACATAAAAATCATCAAAACTGGATAAGAAATAAAAAGAAGATGATTTATGATGTTCAAAAGAAAAAAGTAGCTCAAGTGCAGATGTATTTTCAGATAGAAATATACTTGTAGTATGTAGGTGTTAGGCTATGTTTGTGTTATATGTGTGCTCAGTGTATTATGCAGTATGTCTTTTGTCAATTTATATTGGTTTTATGTATATATTCAGCTTACATGTATAACATGCGTGTATTCAGCTTCAACTCTATACAAGTTCAAACAATGTCAGCGAAAGGACACAAAAACGGGAAAGTTATCAAACTTGTATAGTAAATAAACCATTGGAATTCTAACACGCATGTCTTAGTGTTATTTTTATTTCTACTGATCTTCACTGACAACTTCATGCATTCTTGAAGGTTATTTAATCGATATCCATCATATATTTTATACATTAATTCTCATAATGCTACTTTAATGCGTGAAATTTGAAATTTTTTTTTTAGCCTTTTGAAAGAAAGTAATAGTAGAGTAGTGACAACATGTGGAGTTCAGATGTTAGGTATGGGTCTACGAACGTTTAAAATGTAGACATTTCACGTTCTATAGATACGGATGCACATTATATTAAAACCTTTAAAACAAAAAAAAAGCATGTATAAACTAGGTTTATGTGCGCGTGTTCTCTTCTAATACTACGAAATATCACGCCCCTAATAGCACAGTGGTATATCTGCGGACTTACAACGCCAGAAACCTGGTTTCGATACCCGTGGTGGGCAGAGCACAGATAGCCCATAGTGTAGCTTTTTGCTTAACTTCAAAGAAAATATCACATATATATATATATATATTTCCATCTGAAATCTCAACCAATGCATAAGGAATGAGAATGAAGAAGAGTTTGTTTGTTTTTGAATTTCG